AAACGCATTAAGACTTCAACTTAAACTCAACAGAACAGAAGTTGTTAAACACATGGAGCAAAATCTTCCTGAAGCGACCATACGAGTCATATATACTCATACTCCGCCTAAGTAAAACAGATACCAGCAGCACCTAGAGTGTGCCAACCAGAGGCTTAGGGCTCGTGCAGGAATATCCCTGCAAAAAAAGTCTCCAACACTCAATCATCTCCCCATCACTTAGCTCTCCCACTCTCAGTTCTCCAACACTCAGCTCTCCAACACTCAGCTCTGCCACTCTCAGTTCTCCAACACTCAGCTCTCCAGCACTCAGTTCTCCATCACTCAGCTCTCCAACTCTCAGCTCTCCAACACTCAGCTCTCCAACACTCAGCTCTCCAACTCTCTCAGCTCTCCATCACTTAGCTCTTCAACACTCAGCTCTCCAACTCTAAGCTCTCCAACACTCAGCTCTCCATCTCTCAGCTCTCCATCACTTAGCTCTTCAACACTCAGCTCTCCAACTCTCAGCTCTCCAACACTCAGCTCTCCAACTCTCAGCTCTCCAACACTCAGCTCTCTAACTCTCAGCTCTTCATCACTCAACTCTCCAACACTCAGCTTTAAAACTCTCAGCTCTCCAACACTGAACTCTCCAACACTAAGCTCTCCAACACTCAACTCTCCAACTCTCAGCTCTCCAACATTCAGCTCTTTAACACTAATCTCACCAACACTCAGCTCTCCAACTCTCAGCGCTCCAACATTCATCTCTCCAACACTCAACTCTCCCCCACTCAGCTCTCCCACTCTCAGTTCTCCAACATTCAGCTCTCCAACACTCAGCTCTCCAACACTCAGCTCTCCAACTCTCAGCTCTCCAACTCTTAGCTCTTCAACACTCAGCTCTCCAACTCTCAGCTCTCAAACAATCAGCTCTCCATCTCTCAGCTCTCCATCACTTAGCTCTTCAACACTTAGCTCTCCAACTCTCAGCTCTCCAACTCTCAGCTCTCCAACACTCAGCTCTCCAACTCTCAGCTCTCCATCACTCAGCTCTTCAATTCTTAGCTCTACAACACTCAACACTCTAACACTCAGCTCTCCAACTCTCAGCTCTCCAACACTCAACTCTCAAACACTCAGCTCTCGAACTCTCAGCTCTCCATCACTCAACTCTCCAACATTCAGCTTTCCAACACTCAACTTTCCAACACTAAGCTCTCCAACACTCAACTCTCCAACTCTCACCTCTCCAACATTCAGCTCTTTAACACTCATCTCTCCAACACTCAGCTCTCCAACTCTCACCTCTCCAACACTCAACTCTCTCCCACTCTGCTCTCCCACTCTCAGTTCTCCAACATTCAGCTCTCCAACATTCAGCTCTCCAACACTCAGCTCTCCAACACTCAGCTCTCCAAATCTCAGCTCTCCAACTCTCAGCTCTCCAACATTCAGCTCTCCAACTCTCAGCTCTCCAACTCTCAGCTCTCCAACACTCAGCTCTTTAACACTCAGCTCTCCAACTCTCAGCTTTCTAACACTCAGCTCTACAACACTCAGCTCTTTAACACTCAGCTCTCGAACACTCAGCTCTTTAACACTCACCTCTCCAACTCTCAGCTCTCCAACACTCATCTCTCCAACACTCAGCTCTCCAACTCTCAGCTCTCCAACATTCAGCTCTCCAACACTCAACTTTCCCCCACTCAGCTCTCCAACACTCAGCTCTCCAACACTCCACTCTCTAACACTCAACTCTCCAACATTCAGCTCTACAACACTCAGCTCTTTAACACTCAGCTCTCCAACTCTCAGCTCTCAAACACTCAGCTCTCCCACTCGCAGTTCTCCAACACTCAGCTCTGCAGCACTCAGTTCTCCATCACTCAGCTCTCCAACTCTCGGCTCTCCAACTCTCAGCTCTCGAACACTCAGCTCTCCAACACTCAGCTCTCCAACTCTCAGCTCTCCAACTCTCTGCTCTCCAACTCTCCAACACTCAGCTTTCCAACTCTCAGCTCTCCAACACTCAACTCTCCAACACCTAGCTCTCCAACACTCCACTCTCTAACACTCAACTCTCAGCTCTTCAACGTTCAGCTCTCCAACACTCATCTCTCCAACACTCAGCTCTCCAACTCTCAGTTCTCCAACATTCAGCTCTCCAACACTCAGCTCTCCAACACTCAGCTCTCCAACTCTCAGCTCTCCAACCATCAGCTCTCCAACTCTCAGCTCTCCAACTCTCAGCTCTCCAACTCTCAGCTTTCCAGTTTTCAGCTCTCCACCACTCAGCTCTTTATCACTCAGCTCTCCAACTCTCAGCTCTCCATCACTCAGCTCTCCAACACTCAGCTCTTTACCACTCAGCTCTCCAACACTCAGCTCTCCATCACTCAGCTCTCCAACTCTCAGCTCTCCAACACTCAACTCTCCACCACAAAGCTCTCCAACACTCCACTCTCCAACACTCAGCTCTCCAACTTTCAGCTCTCCAGCTCTCATCTCTCCAACACTCACCTCTCCAACTCTCAGCTCTTCAACACTCAGTTCTCAAACACTCAGCTCTCCAACAATCAGCTCTCCAACACTCAGCTCTCCAAGTTTCAGCTCTACAACACTCAGCTCTTTAACACTCAGCTCTCCAACTCTTAGCTCTCCAACACTCAGCTCTCCAAGACTCAGCTCTCCAACACTCAGCTCTTCAACTCTCAGCTCTCCAACACTCAGCTCTTTAACACACAGCTCTCTAACACTACACTCAGCAACTCTCTGCTCTCCAACACAGTCAGCTCCCCATCTCAACTCTCCAACTCTCTGCTCTCCAGCACTCAACTCCCAACACTCAGCTCTCCAACACTCAGCTCTCCAACTCTCAGCTCTCCAACTCTCAGCTCTCCAACACTCAGCTCTTTAACACTCAGCTCTCGAACACTCAACTCAGCAACTCTCTGCTCTCCAACACAGTCAGCTCTCCATCTCAACTCTCCAACTCTCAGCTCTCCAGTACTCAGCTCTAAAACACTCAACTCTCCAACTCTCAGCTCTCCAACACTAAGCTCTTTAACACTCAGCTCTCAAACTCTCAGCTCTCCATCACTCAGCTCTCCATCACTCAGCTCTCCAACACTCAGCTCTTTAACAATTAGATCTCCAACACTCAACTAAGCAACTCTGAGCTCTCCATCACTCAACTCTGCAACTCTCAGCTCTCCAACACTCAACTCTTCACCACAAAGTACTCCAACACTCGGCTCTCCAACTCTCAGCTCTCCAACTCTCAGCTATCCAACTCTCAGCTTTCCAACTCTCAGCTTTCCAACTCTCAGCTCTCCAACACTCAGCTCTTTAACACTCAGCTCTCCAACTCTCAGCTCTCCATCACTCAGCTCTCCAACACTCAGCTCTCCAGGACTCCACTCTCCAACACTCAGCTCTCCAACACTCAGCTCTCCAACACTCAGCTCTTTAACACTCAACTCTCCAACACTCAGCTCTCCAACTCTCAGCTCTCCAACACTCCACTCTCCAACACTCAGCTCTCCATCACTCAGCTCTCCAACACTCAGCTCTCCAACTCTCAGCTCTCCAACACTCTGCTCTCCAACACTCAGCTCTCCAACTCTCAGCTCTTCAACTCTCAGTTCTACAACTCTGCTCTTTAACACTCAGCTTTGCAACTCTCTGCTCTCCAACACTCAGCTCTCCAACATTCAGCTCAACAACTCACTACGCTCCAACACTCAGCTCTCCAACTCTCAGCTCTCCAACACTCAGCTCTCCAACACTCAGCTCTTCAACACTCAGCTCTCCAACACTCAGCTCTACAACACTCAGCTCTCCAACACTAAACTCTGCAACACTCTGCTCTCCAACACTCAGCTCTCCAGCACTCAGCCCTCCAACATTCAGCTCTCTAATACTCAGCTCCCCAACTCTCAGCTCTCTAACACTCAGCAATCCATCACTCAGCTCTCCAACACTCAGCACTCCAACACTCAGCTCTCCAACACTCAGCTCTCTAACACTCAGCTCTCCAACTCTCAGCTCTTTAACACTCAGCTCTCCAACACTCAGCTCTCCATCACTCAGCTCTCCATCACTCAACTCTGCAACTCTCAGCAGTCCAACAATCAACTCTCAACCACAAAGCTCTTCAACACTCCACTCTCCAACACTCAGCTCTCCAACTCTCAGCTCTCCAGCTCTCAGCTCCCCAACACCCACCTCTCCAACTCTCAGCTCTCCAACACTCAGTTCTTCAACACTCAACTCAGCAACTCTCTGCTCTCCAGCACTGTCAGCTCTCCAGCACTCAGCTCTCCAACACACAACTCTCCAACTCTCAACTCTCCAACTCTCACCTCTGCAACACTCAGCTCTTTAACACTCAGCTCTCCAACTCTCAGCTCTCCATCACTCTGCTCTCCAACACTCAGCTCTCCAACACTTAACTCAGCACTCAGCAACTCTCAGCTCTCCATCACTCAACTCTCCAACACTCAACTCTATACCACAAAGCTCTCCAACACTCCACTCTCCAACACTCAGCTCTCCAACTCTCAGCTCTCCAACTCTCAGCTCTCCAACTCTCAGCTCTCGAACTCTCAGATTTCCAACTCTCAGCTCTCCATCTCTCAGCTCTTTAACACTCAGCTCTCCAACTCTCAGCTCTCCATCACTCAACTCTGCAACTCTCAGCTCTCCAACACTCAACTCTCCATAACAAAGCTCTCCAACACTCAGCTCTCCATCTCAACTCTTTAACTCTCAGCTCTCCAGCACCCAGCTCTCCAACACTCAACTCTCCAACTCTCAGCTCTCCAACTCTCAGCCCTCCATCACTCAGCTCTTCAACACTCAGCTCTCCAACTCTCAGCTCTCCAACTCTCAGCTCTCCAACACTCAGCTCTCCAGCACTCAGCTCTCCAACTCTCAGCTCTCCAACTCTCAGCTCTCCATCACTCAGCTCTCCAACACTCAGCTCTTTAACACTCAGCTCTCCAACACTCAACTCAGCACTCAGCAACTCTCAGCTCTCCATCACTCAACTCTCCAACACTCAACTCTCCAACACTCCACTCTCTAACACTCAGCTCTCCAACTCTCAGATTTCCAACTATCAGCTCTCCATCTCTCAGCTCTTCAACACTCAGCTCTCCAACTTTCAGTTCTCCATCACTCAGCTCTTTAACACTCAGGTCTCCAACACTCAACTCAGCAACTCTCAGCTCTCCTTCACTCAACTCTGCAACTCTCAGTTCTCCAACACTCAACTCTCCATAACAAAGCTCTCCAACACTCAGCTCTCCATCTCAACTCTTTAACTCTCAGCTCTCCAGCACCCAGCTCTCCAACACTCAACTCTCCAACTCTCAGCTCTCCAACTCTCAGCCCTCCATCACTCAGCTCTTCAACACTCAGCTCTCCAACTCTCCGCTCTCCAACTCTCAGCTCTTCAACTCTCAGCTCTACAACTCTGCTCTCCAAAACTCAGCTTTCCAACTCTCTGCTCTTCAACACTCAGCTCTCCAACACTCAGCTCTCCAACACTCAGCTGTTCAACACTCAGCTCTCCAACACTCAGCACCGCAACTCTCTACTCTCCAATACTCAGCTCTCACCTCCCAGCTCTCCAAAACTCAGCTCTCCAACATTCAGCTCTCCAACACTGAACTCTTTAACACTCTGCTCTCCAACACTCAGCTCTCTAACACTCAGCTTTAAAACACTCAGCCCTCCAACACTCAGCTCTTCAACACTCAGTTCTCCAACACTCAGCTCTCCAACTCTCAGGTCTCTAACACTCAGCTCTCTATCACTCAGCTCTCCAACACTCAGCCCTCCAACACTCAGCTCTCCAACACTCAGCTCTCCAACTCTCAGCTCTCTAACACTCAGCTCTCCAACACTCAGCTCTCCAACTCTCAGCTCTCTAACACTCAGCTCTCCATCACTCAGCTCTCCAACACTCAGCTCTCCAACACTCAGCTCTCCAACAGTCAGCTCTCCAACTCTCTGCTCTCTAACACTCAACTCTCCAACACTAAGCTCTCCAACACTCAACTCTCCAACTCTCAGCTCTCCAACATTCAGCTCTTTAACACTAATCTCTCCAACACTCAACTCTCCAACTCTTAGTACTCCAACACTCAGCCCTCCAACACTCAGCTCTCCAACACTCAGCTCTCCAACACTCAACTCTCCCCCACTCAGCTCTCCCACTCTCAGTTCTCCAACATTCAGCTCTCCAACACTCAGCTCTCCAACACTCAGCTCTCCAACTCTCAGTTCTTCAACACTCAGCTCTCCAACTTTCAGCTCTCCAACTCTCAGTTCTAAAACACTCAGCTCTCCAACTTTCAGCTCTCCATCACTCAGCTCTTCAACTCTTAGCTCTACAACACTCAACACTCTAACACTCAGCTCTCCAACTCTCTGCTCTCCAACACTCAACACTTTAACACTCAGCTCTCCAACTCTCAGCTCTCCAACACTCAACTCTCAAACACTCAGCTCTCCAACTCTCAGCTCTTCAACACTCAGCTCTCCACCACTCAACTCTCCAACATTCAGCTTTACAACACTCAACTCTCCAACACTAAGCTCTCCAACACTCACCTCTCCAACTCTCAGCTCTTCAACACTCAGTTCTCCAACACTCAGCTCTCCAACACTCAGCTCTCCAACACTCACCTCTCCAAGTTTCAGCTCTACACCACTCAGCTCTTTAACACTCAGCTCTCCAACTCTCAGCTCTTCAACACTCAGCTCTCCAACACTCAGCTCTCCAACACGCAGCTCTTCAACTCTCAGCTCTCAAACGCTCAGCTCTTTAACACACAGCTCTCTAACACTCAACTCAGCAACTCTCTGCTCTCCAACACAGTAAGCTCTCCATCTCAACTCTCCAACTCTCAGCTCTCCAACACTCAGCTCCCCAACACTCAGCTCTCCAACACTCAGGTCTCCAACTCTCAGCTCTCCAACTCTCAGCTCTGCAACACTCAGCTCTTTAACACTCAGCTCTCCAACACTCAACTCAGCAACTCTCTGCTCCCCAACACTCAGCTCTCCAACACTCAGGTCTCCAGCACTCAACTCTCCAACTCTCAGCTCTTTAACACTCAGCTCTCAAACTCTCAGCTCTCTATCACTCAGCTCTTCATCACTCAGCTCTCCAACACTCAGCTCTTTAACACTCAGATCTCGAACACTCAACTCAGCAACTCTCAGCTCTCCATCACTCAACTCTGCAACTCTCAGCTCTCCAACACTCAACTCTTCACCACAATGTACTCCAACACTCCACTCTCCAACACTCAGCTCTCCAACTCTCAGCTCTCCAACTGTCAGCTATCCAACTTTCAGCTTTCCAACTCTCAGCTCTGCAACACTCAGCTCTTTAACACTCAGCTCTCCAACTCTCAGCTCTCCATCACTCAGCTCTCCAACACTCAGCTCTCCAGCACTCAGCTCTTTAACACTCAACTCTCCAACACACAGCTCTGCAACTCTCAGCTCTCCACCACTCCACTCTCCAACACTCAGCTCTCCAACTCTCAACTCTCCAACACTCTTCTCTCCAACACTCAACTCTCCAACTCTCAACTCTTCAACTCTCAGTTCTACAACTCTGCTCTTTAACACTCGGCTTTGTAACTTTCTGCTCTCCAACACTCAGCTCTCCAACATTCAGCTCTTCAACTCTCTGCTCTTCAACACTCAGCTCTCCAATACTCAGCTCTACAACTCTCTGCTCTCCTACACTCAGCTCTCCAACACTCAGTTCTCCAACACTCAGCTCTCTAACACTCCGCTCTGCAACTCACTACTCTCCAACACAAAGCTCTCCAACTCTCAGCTCTCCAACTCTCAGCTCTCCAACACTCAGCTCACCAACACTCAGCTCTCCAACACGCAGCTCTTCAACTCTCAGCTCTCCAACGCTCAGCTCTTTAACACACAGCTCTCTAACACTCAACTCAGCAACTCTCTGCTCTCCAACACAGTAAGCTCTCCATCTCAACTCTCCAACTCTCAGCTCTCAACCACTCAGCTCCCCAACACTCAGCTCTCCAACACTCAGGTCTCCAACTCTCAGCTCTCCAACTCTCAGCTCTCCAACACTCAGCTCTTTAACACTCAGCTCTCCAACACTCAACTTAGCAACTCTCTGCTCCCCAACACTCAGCTCTCCAACACTCAGGTCTCCAACACTCAACTCTCCAACTCTCAGCTCCCCAACACTCAGCTCTTTAACACTCAGCTCTCCAACACTCAACTCTCCAACACTCAGCTCTCCAACACTCAGCTCTCCAACTCTCAGCTCTTCAACTCTCAGCTCTACAACTCTGCTCTCCAACACTCAGCTTTGCAACTCTCTGCTCTCCAACACTCAGCTCTCCAACAGTCAGCTCTCCAACACTCAGCTCTTCAACACTCAGCTCTCCAACACTCAGCTCTCCAACATTCAGCTCTCCAACACTCAGCTCTCCAACACTGAACTCTTTAACACTCTGCTCTCCAACACTCAGCTCACCAACACTCAGCTTTCCAACATTCAGCCCTCCAACACTCAGCTCTTCAACACTCAGTTCTCCAACACTCAGCTCTCCAACTCTCAGGTCTCTAACACTCAGCTCTCCAACACACAGCTCTCTAACACTCAGCTCTCCATCACTCAGCTCTCCAACACTCAGCCCTCCAACATTCAGCTCTCCAACACTCAGCTCTCCAACTCTCAGCTCTCGAACACTCAGCTCTCCAACACTCAACTCTCCAACACTAAGCTCTCCAACACTCAGCTCTCCATCACTCAGCTCTCCAACACTCAGCCCTCCAACATTCAGCTCTCCAACACTCAGCTCTCCAACTCTCAGCTCTCGAACACTCAGCTCTCCAACACTCAACTCTCCAACACTAAGCTCTCCAACACTCAACTCTCCAACTCTCAGCTCTGCAACATTCAGCTCTTTAACACTAATCTCTCCAACACTCCGCTCTCCAACTCTCAGCGCTCCAACATTCAGCTCTCCAACACTCAACTCTCCCCCACTCAGCTCTCCCACTCTCAGTTCTCCAACATTCAGCTCTCCAACACTCAGCTCTCCAACACTCAGCTCTCCAACTCTCAGCTCTCCAACTCTCAGCTCTTCAACACTCAGCTCTCCAGCTCTCAGCTCTCCAACAATCAGCTCTCCATCTCTCAGCTCTCCATCACTTAGCTCTTCAACACTCAGCTCTCCAACTTTCAGCTCTCCAACTCTCAGCTCTCCAGCACTCAGCTCTCCAACTCTCAGCTCTCCATCACTCAGTTCTTCAACTCTTAGCTCTACAACACTCAACACTCAAACTCTCAGCTCTCCAACTCTCAGCTCTCCAACACTTAGCTCTTTAACACTCAGCTCTCCAGCTCTCAGCTTTCTAACGCTCAGCTCTACAACACTCAGCTCTTTAACACTCAGCTCTCCATCACTCCGCTCTTTAACACTCACCTCTCCAACTCTCAGCTCTCCAACACTCATCTCTCCAACACTCAGCTCTCCAACTCTCAGCTCTCCAACATTCAGCTCTCCAACACTCAACTTTCCCCCACTCAGCTCTCCCTATCTCAGTTCTCCAACACTCAGCTCTCCAACACTCTACTCTCTAACACTCAACTCTCCACCATTCAGCTCTACAACACTCAGCTCTTTAACACTCAGCTCTCCAACTCTCAGCTCTCAAACACTCAGCTCTCCCACTCTCAGTTCTCCAACACTCAGCTCTGCAGCACTCAGCTCTCCAACTCTCGGCTCTCCAACTCTCAGCTCTCGAACACTCAGCTCTCCAACACTCAGCTCTCCAACTCTCAGCTCTCCAACACTCAGCTCTTTAACACTCAGCTCTCCAACTCTCAGCTTTCTAACACTCAGCTCTACAACACTCAGCTCTCCAACACTCAGCTCTTCAACTCTCAGCTCTCCAACACTCAGCTCTTTAACACACAGCTCTCTAACACTCAACTCAGCAACTCTCTGCTCTCCATTACAGTCAGCTCTCCATCTCAACTCTCCAACTCTCAGCTCTCCAGCACTCATCTCCCCAATACTCAGCTCTCCAACACTCAGCTCTCCAACTCTCAGCTCTCCAACTCTCAGCTCTCCAACACTCAGCTCTCCAACACTCAACTTAGCAACTCTGCTCTCCAACACAGTCAGCTCTCCATCTCAACTCTCCCACTCTCAGCTCTCCAGCACTCAGCTCTCCAACACTCAACTCTCCAACTCACAGCTCTCCTACACTCAGCTCTTTAACACTCAGCTCTCCAACTCTCAGCTTTCCATCACTCAGCTCTCCATCACTCAGCTCTCCAACACTCAGCTCTTGAACACTCAGATCTCCAACACTCAACTCGGCAACTCTCAGCTCTCCATCACTCAATTCTTCACCACAAAGCTCTCCAACATTCCACTCTACAACACTTAGCTCTTCAACTCTCAGCTCTCCAACTCTCAGCTATCCAACTCTCAGCTTTCTAACTCTCAGCTCTCCAACACTCAGCTCTTTAACACTCAGCTCTCCAACTCTCAGCTCTCCATCACTCAGCTCTCTAACACTCAGCTCTCCAACACTCAGCTCTCCAACACTCAGCTCTTTATCGCTCAACTCTCCAACACTCAGCTCTCCAACTCTCAGCTCTCCAACACTCCACTCTCCAACACTCAGCTCTCCAACACTCAGCTCTCCAACACTCCACTCTCCAACACTCAGTTCTCCATCACTCAGCTCTCCAACACTCAGCTCTCCAACTCTCAGCTCTCCAAAACTCTGCTCTCCAACACTCAGCTTTCCAACTCTCAGCTCTTCAACTCTCAGTTCTACAACTCTGCTCTCCTACACTCAGCTTTGCAACTCTCTGCTCTCCAACACTCAGCTCTCCAACATTCAGCTCTACAACTCTCTGCTCTACAACACTCAGCTCTCCAACACTCAGCTCTGCAACACTCAGCTCTCCATCACTCAGCTCTCTAACACTCTGCTCTGCAACTCACTACTCTCCAACACTCAGCTTTCCAACTCTCAGCTCTCCAACACTCAGCTCTCCAACACTCAGCTCTTCAACACTCAGCTCTCCTACACTCAGCTCTACAACACTCAGCCCTCCAACACTCAGCTCTCTAACACTCAGCTCTCCAACTCTCAGCTCTCTAACACTCAGCTATCCATCACTCAGCTCTCCAACACTCAGCCCTCCAACACTCAGCTCTCCAACTCTCAGCTCTTTAATACTCAGCTCTCCAACACTCAGCTCTCCAACACTCAGCTCTCTAACACTCCGCTCTGCAACTCACTACTCTCCAACACTCAGCTCTCCAAATCTCAGCTCTCCAACACTCAGCTCTCCAAACACTCAACTCTGCAACATTCTGCTTTCCAACACTCAGCTCTCCAGCACTCAGCCCTCCAACACTCAGCTCTCTAACATACAGCTCTGCAACTCTCAGCTCTCTAACACTCAGCTATCCATCACTCAGCTCTCCAACACTCAGCCCTCCAACTCTCAGCTCTCCAGCTCTCAGCTCCCCAACACTCACCTCTCCAACTCTCAGCTCTCCAACACTCAGTTCTCCAACACTCAACTCAGCAACTTTCTGCTCTCCAACACAGTCAGCTCTCCATCTCAACTCTCCAACTCTCAGCTCTCCAGCACTCAGCTCTCCAACACTCAACTCTCCAACTCTCAACTCACCAACTCTCAGCTCTGCAACACTCAGCTCTTTAACACTCAGCTCTCCAACTCTCAGCTCTCCATCACTCAGCTCTCCAACACTCAACTCTTTTACACTCAGCTCTCCAACACTCAACTCAGCACTCAGCAACTCTTAGCTCTCCATCACTCAACTCTGCAACTTTCAGCTCTCCAACACTCAACTCTCCACAACAAAGCTCTCCAAGACTCCACTCTCCAACACTCAGCTCTCCAACTCTCAGCTCTCCAACTCTCAGCTCTCCAACTCTCAGCTTTCCAACTCTCAGCTCTCCATCTCTCAGCTCTTTAACACTCAGCTCTCCAACTCTCAGCTTTCCATCACTCAGCTCTTTAATCCTCAGCTTTCCACCACTCAACTCAGCAACTCTCAGCTCTCCATCACTCAACTCTGCAACTCTCAGCTCTCCAACACTCAACTCTCCATAACTAAGCTCTCCAACACTCCACTCTCTAACACTCAGCTCTCCATCTCAACTCTTTAACTCTCAGCTCTCCAGCACCCAGCTCTCCAACACTCAACTCTCCAACTCTTAGCTCTCCAACTCTAAGCTCTCCAACACTCAGCTCTCCAACACTCATCTCTCCAACTCTCAGCTCTTCAACTCTCAGCTCTACAACTCTGCTCTCCAACACTCAGCTTTGCAACTCTCTTCTCTCCAGCACTCAGCTCTCCAACACTCAGCTCTGCAACTCTCTACTCTCCAACACTCAGCTCTCCAACTCTCAGCTCTCCAACACTCAGCTCTCCAACATTCAGCTCTCCAACACTCAGCTCTCCAACACTGAACTCTTTTACACTCTGCTCTCCAACACTCAGCTCACCAACACTCAGCTTTCCAACACTCAGCCCTCCAACACTCTGCTCTTTAACACTCAGTTCTCCAACACTCAGCTTTCCAACTCTCAGCTCACGAACACTCAGCTCTCCAACTCTCAGCTCTCCAACACTCAGCTCTCGACACTCAGCTCTCCAACACTCAACGCTCTAACACTCATCCGTCCAACACTCAGCTCTCCAACACTCAGCTCTCCAACTCTCAGCTCTCCAACACTCAGCTCTCCAACACTCAGCCCTCCAACACTCAGCTCTCCAACACTCAGCTCTCCAACTCTTAGCTCTCGAACACTCAGCTCTCCAACACTCAGCTCTCCAACACTCAGTTCTTAAACACTCAGTTCTCCAACACTCAGGTCTCCAACACTCAGCTCTCCAACACTCAGCACTCCAACACTCAGCTCTCCAACTCTCAGCTCTCCAACACTCTGCTCTCCAACACTCAGCTCTCCAACTCTCAGCTCTTCAACTCTCAGTTCTACAACTCTGCTCTCCTACACTCAGCTTTGCAACTCTCTGCTCTCCAACACTCAGCTCTCCAACATTCAGCTCTACAACTCTCTGCTCTACAACACTCAGCTCTCCAACACTCAGCTCTGCAACACTCAGCTCTCCATCACTCAGCTCTCTAACACTCTGCTCTGCAACTCACTACTCTCTAACACTCATCTCTCCAACTCTCAGCTCTCCAACACTCAGCTCTCCAACACTCAGCTCTTCAACACTCAGCTCTCCTACACTCAGCTCTACAACACTCAGCCCTCCAACACTCAGCTCTCCAACTCTCAGCTCTCTAACACTCAGCTATCCATCACTCAGCTCTCCAACACTCAGCCCTCCAACACTCAGCTCTCGACACTCAGCTCTCCAACACTCAACGCTCTAACACTCATCCGTCCAACACTCAGCTCTCCAACACTCAGCTCTCCAACTCTCAGCTCTCCAACACTCAGCTCTCCAACACTCAGCCCTCCAACACTCAGCTCTCCAACACTCAGCTCTCCAACTCTTAGCTCTCGAACACTCAGCTCTCCAACACTCAGCTCTCCAACACTCAGTTCTTAAACACTCAGTTCTCCAACACTCAGGTCTCCAACACTCAGCTCTCCAACACTCAGCACTCCAACACTCAGCTCTCCAACTCTCAGCTCTCCAACACTCTGCTCTCCAACACTCAGCTTTCCAACTCTCAGCTCTTCAACTCTCAGTTCTACAACTCTGCTCTCCTACACTCAGCTTTGCAACTCTCTGCTCTCCAACACTCAGGTCTCCAACATTCAGCTCTACAACTCTCTGCTCTACAACACTCAGCTCTCCAACACTCAGCTCTGCAACACTCAGCTCTCCATCACTCAGCTCTCTAACACTCTGCTCTGCAACTCACTACTCTCCAACACTCAGCTTTCCAACTCTCAGCTCTCCAACACTCAGCTCTCCAACACTCAGCTCTTCAACACTCAGCTCTCCTACACTCAGCTCTACAACACTCAGCCCTCCAACACTCAGCTCTCTAACACTCAGCTCTCCAACTCTCAGCTCTCTAACACTCAGCTATCCATCACTCAGCTCTCCAACACTCAGCCCTCCAACACTCAGCTCTCCAACTCTCAGCTCTTTAATACTCAGCTCTCCAACACTCAGCTCTCCAACACTCAGCTCTCTAACACTCCGCTCTGCAACTCACTACTCTCCAACACTCAGCTCTCCAAATCTCAGCTCTCCAACACTCAGCTCTCCAAACACTCAACTCTGCAACATTCTGCTTTCCAACACTCAGCTCTCCAGCACTCAGCCCTCCAACACTCAGCTCTCTAACATACAGCTCTGCAACTCTCAGCTCTCTAACACTCAGCTATCCATCACTCAGCTCTCCAACACTCAGCCCTCCAACTCTCAGCTCTCCAGCTCTCAGCTCCCCAACACTCACCTCTCCAACTCTCAGCTCTCCAACACTCAGTTCTCCAACACTCAACTCAGCAACTTTCTGCTCTCCAACACAGTCAGCTCTCCATCTCAACTCTCCAACTCTCAGCTCTCCAGCACTCAGCTCTCCAACACTCAACTCTCCAACTCTCAACTCACCAACTCTCAGCTCTGCAACACTCAGCTCTTTAACACTCAGCTCTCCAACTCTCAGCTCTCCATCACTCAGCTCTCCAACACTCAACTCTTTTACACTCAGCTCTCCAACACTCAACTCAGCACTCAGCAACTCTTAGCTCTCCATCACTCAACTCTGCAACTTTCAGCTCTCCAACACTCAACTCTCCACAACAAAGCTCTCCAAGACTCCACTCTCCAACACTCAGCTCTCCAACTCTCAGCTCTCCAACTCTCAGCTCTCCAACTCTCAGCTTTCCAACTCTCAGCTCTCCATCTCTCAGCTCTTTAACACTCAGCTCTCCAACTCTCAGCTTTCCATCACTCAGCTCTTTAATCCTCAGCTTTCCACCACTCAACTCAGCAACTCTCAGCTCTCCATCACTCAACTCTGCAACTCTCAGCTCTCCAACACTCAACTCTCCATAACTAAGCTCTCCAACACTCCACTCTCTAACACTCAGCTCTCCATCTCAACTCTTTAACTCTCAGCTCTCCAGCACCCAGCTCTCCAACACTCAACTCTCCAACTCTTAGCTCTCCAACTCTAAGCTCTCCAACACTCAGCTCTCCAACACTCATCTCTCCAACTCTCAGCTCTTCAACTCTCAGCTCTACAACTCTGCTCTCCAACACTCAGCTTTGCAACTCTCTTCTCTCCAGCACTCAGCTCTCCAACACTCAGCTCTGCAACTCTCTACTCTCCAACACTCAGCTCTCCAACTCTCAGCTCTCCAACACTCAGCTCTCCAACATTCAGCTCTCCAACACTCAGCTCTCCAACACTGAACTCTTTTACACTCTGCTCTCCAACACTCAGCTCACCAACACTCAGCTTTCCAACACTCAGCCCTCCAACACTCTGCTCTTTAACACTCAGTTCTCCAACACTCAGCTTTCCAACTCTCAGCTCACGAACACTCAGCTCTCCAACTCTCAGCTCTCCAACACTCAGCTCTCGACACTCAGCTCTCCAACACTCAACGCTCTAACACTCATCCGTCCAACACTCAGCTCTCCAACACTCAGCTCTCCAACTCTCAGCTCTCCAACACTCAGCTCTCCAACACTCAGCCCTCCAACACTCAGCTCTCCAACACTCAGCTCTCCAACTCTTAGCTCTCGAACACTCAGCTCTCCAACACTCAGCTCTCCAACACTCAGTTCTTAAACACTCAGTTCTCCAACACTCAGGTCTCCAACACTCAGCTCTCCAACACTCAGCACTCCAACACTCAGCTCTCCAACTCTCAGCTCTCCAACACTCTGCTCTCCAACACTCAGCTCTCCAACTCTCAGCTCTTCAACTCTCAGTTCTACAACTCTGCTCTCCTACACTCAGCTTTGCAACTCTCTGCTCTCCAACACTCAGCTCTCCAACATTCAGCTCTACAACTCTCTGCTCTACAACACTCAGCTCTCCAACACTCAGCTCTGCAACACTCAGCTCTCCATCACTCAGCTCTCTAACACTCTGCTCTGCAACTCACTACTCTCTAACACTCATCTCTCCAACTCTCAGCTCTCCAACACTCAGCTCTCCAACACTCAGCTCTTCAACACTCAGCTCTCCTACACTCAGCTCTACAACACTCAGCCCTCCAACACTCAGCTCTCCAACTCTCAGCTCTCTAACACTCAGCTATCCATCACTCAGCTCTCCAACACTCAGCCCTCCAACACTCAGCTCTCCAATACTCAGCTCTCCAACACTCAGCTCTCCAACTCTCAGCTCTTTAACACTCAGCTCTCCAAAACTCAGCTCTCCAACACTCAGCTCTCTAACACTCCGCTCTGGAACTCACTACTCTCCAACACTCAGCTCTCCAAATCTCAGCTCTCCAACACTCAGCTCTCCAAACACTCAACTCTGCAACATTCTGCTTTCCAACACTCATCTCTCCAGCACTCAGCCCTCCAACACTCAGCTCTCTAACATACAGCTCTCCAACTCTAAGCTCTCTAACACTCAGCTATCCATCACTCAGCTCTCCAACACTCAGCCCTCCAACACTCAGCTCTCCAACACTCAGCTCTCCAACTCTCAGCTCTTTAACACTCAGCTCTCCAACACTCAGCTCTCCATCACTCAACTCTGCAACTCTCAGCTGTCCAACAGTCAACTCTCCACCACAAAGCTCTTCAACACTCCACTCTCCAACACTCAGCTCTCCAACTCTCAGCTCTCCAGCTCTCAGCTCCCCAACACTCACCTCTCCAACTCTCAGCTCTCCAACACTCAGTTCTCCAACACTCAACTCAGCAACTTTCTGCTCTCCAACACAGTCAGCTCTCCATCTCAACTCTCCAACTCTCAGCTCTCCAGCATTCAGCTCTCCAACACTCAACTCTCCAACTCTCAACTCTCCAACTCTCAGCTATGCAACACTCAGCTCTTTAACACTCAGCTCTCCAACTCTCAGCTCTCCATCACTCAGCTCTCCAACACTCAACTCTTTTACACTCAGCTCTCCAACACTCAACTCAGCACTCAGCAACTCTTAGCTCTCCATCACTCAACTCTGCAACTCTCAGCTCTCCAACACTCAACTCTCCACCACAAACCTCTCCAAGACTCCACTCTCCAACACTCAGCTCTCCAACTCTCAGCTCTCCAACTTTCAGCTCTCCAACTCTCAGCTTTCCAACTCTCAGCTCTCCATCTCTCAGCTCTTTAACACTCAGCTCTCCAACTCTCAGCTCTCCATCACTCAGCTCTTTAATACTCAGCTTTCCAACACTCAACTCAGCAACTCTCAGCTCTCCATCACTCAACTCTGCAACTCTCAGCTCTCCAACACTCAACTCTCCATAACTAAGCTCTCCAACACTCCACTCTCCAACACTCAGCTCTCCATCTCAACTCTTTAACTCTCAGCTCTCCAGCACCCAACTCTCCAACACTCAACTCTCCAACTCTCAGCTCTCCAACTCTCAGCTCTCCAACTCTCAGCTCTCCAACACTCAGCTCTCCAACTCTCAGCTTTTCAACTCTCAGCTCTACAACTCTGCTCTCCAACACTCAGCTTTGCAACTCTCTTCTCTCCAGCACTCAGCTCTCCAACACTCAGCTCTCCAACACTCAGCTCTTCAATACTCAGTTCTCCAACACTCAGCTCTGCAACTCTCTACTCTCCAACACTCAGCTCTCCAACTCTCAGCTCTCCAACACTCACCTATCCAACATTCAGCTCTCCAACACTCAGCTCTCCAACACTCAGCTCTCCAACACTGAACTCTTTAACACTCAGCCCTCCAACACTCAGCTCTTCAACACTCAGTTCTCCAACACTCAGCTCTCCAACTCTCAGGTCTCTAACACTCAGCTCTCCATCACTCAGCTCTCCAACACTCAGCCCTCCAACACTCAGCTCTCCAACACTCAGCTCTCCAACTCTCAGGTCTCTAACACTCAGCTCTCCATCACTCAGCTCTCCAACACTCAGCCCTCCAACACTCAGCTCTCCAACACTCAGCTCTCCAACTCTCAGCTCTCGAACACTCATCTCTCCAACTCTCAGCTCTCCAACACTCAGCTCTCGACACTCAGTTCTCCAACACTCAGCTCTCCAACACTCAGCTCTCCAACACTCAGCTCTCCAACACTCAGTTCTCCAACACTCAGCTCTCCAACACTCAGCTCTCCAACACTCAGCCCTCCAACACTCAGCTCTCCAACACTCAGCTCTCCAACACTCAGCTCTCAACACTCAGCTCTCCAACACTCAGTTCTCCAACACTCAGCTCTCCAACACTCAGTTCTCCAACACTCAGCTCTCCAACACTCAGCTGTCATGTACAAGTGCCAGTTAGGAATGCTGATTGTGAACCTGAAATAAATTATCTGTACTCATCTGTTATGTTCAGAATCGACTACTCCAATTAGTCCTAAAACTATTTTCACAGTGAGATATAGCAGTTTATATATTGTTTAGCTAATATATGGTGCCTGCGTTTGCTATATAAACGACCCGGGTACCCGGCACATCTGAGAATTGTAATACGGTATGAACATGGGTAAGAGTTCCTTCAAAGTATAAGCGATCAATTATCACTTGTTGAAGTCAATCATCACAGTAATTATTGTAATGAAACATTTTGATGGTTACTGTGAGGAGACACTGATATACATAACTAATAGAGTCAGAACTCGACAATGTGATGTTGAAGAGGCCAGAATGTGCCAGAAATAGAAACGTATTTGGCAGCTTTCTCAAAACTCCAAAACTGGCCATGCGTCCTGTTACCCGTACGACACACTCACTAGAAGGAATGCAGTGGGTTATCTTGAGGTTATCTTAAGAGGATTTCGAGGCTTAGCATCCCCTCGGCCCGGTCCTCGACCGGGCCTCCTTTTTGTTACACATCCCCAGGAAGCAGCTGTCTAACTCCATGCTCCCTATTTACTGCTAGGCGAACAGGTGCACCCGGGTGAAAGAAACTCTATTTGTTTCCCCATGGGCATATTTTTGCCCATTTGTTTCCACCTCCTACGGGAATCGAACCCGGAACCTTAGGACTACGAGTCCCGAGCGCTGTCTACTCAGCCGTCAATTCATACATCGAATTTGTAAGATGCACGGCTGTGAGGCAGCTTCCTCTTGAGATGATGTCAAGAATCATTAAGTGAACTAGGATGATATAAAGGGAGTTAGATGTGAGAGCAGTATGGGAAAACGGGTTTGATTGACAGTGTAACTAACACTAATCTATTAAAGAAAATTTCCAGTATTACACACGATTCCTTAACATTAAGAGAGAGTATCCCAGCCACACAAGCTAGACGAGCACACCCACCGCCCCGAGGCTTTGGTGCATAATGACCACTTGGTCTCTGCCACTTGCAACAGGCGCCACAACTATACCACTGGTGATGACTCCCAGTACTGCCTAGACAGGGGAATGTTGTGCTTGTACAACAACATTTTGTCACACAACAACGCACATAATGCACAGTAATAATATATCTTAACATAACTACAAATGATCAAAGTACGCAACAGTGATATTGTTGTGAACTATCGTTGTACATCATTTTACACAACAATCTATATATAGTGTAAATACAAAGTACACAACAATGATGCAGCCTGTCCGATGAGGACAGGCTTCATCTGTAAAAGACGCTAGTGAAGTTTCACTGTAGGCAGCTGGTTGAATCCGAGGCCTCATTCACAGCATAACCACATAAAAGTGAAAGCTTTAACATCTATATACTTTGCAGGCCTTTTCACACATTCTAATCTCACCACGCTAACGAGAAACGATGAGCTGCTGACATCAGGTCAGCTGTCGAAGGAAGGAAACTATCAGAACCGCAAGCCGTTACTACAATATGACACTTGGTCAGGATAAATATTTGGAATGGGACGGGGGGAAGGAATGGTGCCCACCCATTTGGACGGTCAGGGAGTGAACCTGCATGAAGCGAGACCGTCGCTCTACCGTCCAGTCCAAGTGGTTATTGAGATGGGTCCCACCTCACAGATGGCGCACATGGCTAATTTGTGCAGGTGGAAGAGATGTACGATAACACACTACACACCCTGGGATGCGAGACTTGTCAGAGATCATTATAGTGGCGGTTGAGTACACGTGCAGTGTACTCAGCCGTCACTGAGCAAAATTTATATATTTTTGTGAAATTTGCAAGTTTCCACACCAGTGAATCTGTCTCAAAGGAATGAGGCCAGAGGTGTCACAATTAATTGTTTTTAATTATTTTAATATTTTGTTCAAATTGTTAAAACGTGTTTAGGTGGTGGCTGGTGCCCAATTTGTCGCTGAGTAACTATGCTGCTAAGTGAGGGTTGCTGGGAACTAGTGAGTAAGTGGGTATAATGAATAATCTCATAGTGTAAAGGCAGGTACTTGCAGCTGAGACCCGCTCTCACTTTCCGTAGACCGTTGCTAGGCTTTCATAAGCACCCGCCTTGTATCTACTCGTCGCCTTGTACCCACTCGTCGCCTTGTACCCGCTCGTCGCCTTGTACCAGCTCGTCGCCTTGTACCAGCTCGTCGCCTTGTACCCGCTCGTCGCCTTGTACCAACTCGTTGCCTTGTACCAGCTCGTCGCCTTGTACCAGCTCGTCGCCTTGTACCCGCTCGTCATCTTGTACCAGCTCGTCGCCTTGTACCCGCTCGTCACCTTGTACCAGCTCGTCGCCTTGTACCAGCTCGTCACCTTGTACCAGCTCGTCACCTTGTACCAGCTCGTCGCCTTGTACCCGCTCGTCGCCTTGTACCCGCTCGTCGCCTTGTACCAGCTCGTCGTGAACTCACAGTAATCGTCACTCCACTGTACATCCACATTAATGTTGATCAATGGTCAAGATATCTTCATATGGTACCATCAGCAATATGCAAATACAAGATATAAATAATTACAAGTAATTAAAGCAACTGCCTATTACTACCTATTAATCAATGGTGAATATCGTTTTGTAAAATCTATTAAGCATTACTCAAACCTCTCTCAGAATAAAAATTGTAATCACACTAGGGTATTTTTAACAAGTAATAATGTTGTGATTGATTCCACAAACAAGCATATGTAAATGTATTCATCAATATATATATAGGCCAGCCTATCTTTAACAATTTATTCTCGAATGCCTCTAATCTTCTAAGACGCATATGAATATGTGTATAGACATACTTCAATACTCTTAATAATATTCATAAGTTTAAATGTTTTATTCCCAATGTTTTCTTATTTAAATCTTAAGTTCACTAATAGCGCTGTCTGGCAACGTTTACTCCCAGAGGTTCAACTAGGTGGCGACCCCATATACCCCCTCTCTCCCATGGGCAGGCAATGTCTAGGGCCCTCATTACCTAAGCTGGAGTGCTGAGGGATGGTTCTATAACCAGCTCCGACGTTAATAGATTACTTATTTAATTTGTCAAAGCTCTATAACACTATTGTCGCCTCATTAACTCACTCAAATGATTATTGACAATAATCTGTGGTGCACCTGATGCTAGAACACTCCCTTTAAACATGCTCTGTCTTCAAGCAGTTTCACTGATGACTAACAGAACACATTTGTGGCAGCTGTGACCTTCGTGTCCTTGCACTAGGCTCGACAATAGTGTTGTCAATATACACATATGATCACTGTAACGGCCTAGGAACTCAGTGTCTGACTTCACGAATAGCCGTCCAATGCTATATATCCTCCTTATATATTGGTTGACGCGCGCTTCATTTGTCCTCATGTCAGGCGTCGACCGCTTGGATCATTTCGGCACCACAAGTTTTCTATAAATCGAGTCTCGTTTCCTTCTGACAAGTGATAGCAAGCTGGGTGATGGAGAAAGGTTGACAGACCTTTCCATTCCTATATAGTCCATCGCTACTCATGAACAGTTGAGTCGCACCTTTGATTAAGTTTCCAATAGACGAGACTACTAATGGGGAAGCACCAGGCAGACCTTCCCCGTTGACGGACTGTAAAGGAGCCTGGTAAAGGAGACATCAGGCCTGCTCAATGCTGTGGCACATGCTAGTTCGGTTTTAATTGGTTACTGGACATCGTCTACGTTTGACGGTAGAGCTAAGGTGACGTCTTTTCGAAGATTATGACACTAGAACATAAGAAGACTCCTTCTCCACGGCGTGCTTAGCCTTTTCTGGGGCTGTGAACTGACCGCTGGTGGAGATTGCGATCATAGATGTGCTCCATGTGGACGTTCTTGATTTGCTTGGGCTGGAAAAGCTCTCATCTACTCGGGTGGCGGTGTCCTTCAACTCGAGTCTGCTGTTGTTACGGACCCGAACCCAGCGTCCGAGCACGGAGCAGTGACGACCGCGCCATCTGTGGGTCAGCTCCCGAAACCCCCTCCAAATGGACGACGCCATCTAGCGAGGGCGGGATATACCGGCCACAGGGGCTGGTTTCCCGTCTTAATCAGCTAGTGACATAGCCGCTGTTGACCTCTGGTGAGGTGATACTTAGACAGCAACGCCATCTAAGGAGTGGATAGGTGGACGTTTGCGTCTAAGCCTGTAAGTGAGGTGCCCTAGAGTGTAACCAGTACTGATGACGTGTCTGATTACAGAGTCGACCTGGGACTGCTGAATCGGACGGTGGATCAGTCTACCCAAGGCAGCCATAGTATCTCCACGTGTTTGCTGCAGAAGCTGTGAGTCACCCTCCCGGATGAACTCTGTTGTGTTAGCCTGCCTGTGAGGTGGCAGAACCAGGAATTGTCATACCCGGGGCTGACTGGTGGAGAAGACTAGCCACTGGGGTGTTGTTGAGAGAGGAGAGTGAATTGTGGAATCACACGAGGCTCCTGCCTAGGGCTCGCAACCCTAGTATAGGTCGTGGAGTGGCCTACATAGCAGAGCTGATTGGAACCTGCCAGCTACAGGCTGGATTTGTGGTTGAAGGCCTCCACGATGGTGCACCCAGTGGGACTGTGATTTGGCTGGCCTGTGGCCAGGGTAGACTCGCTTAGAGAATCGAAGGATTCATCGTGAGGCCACAAGAAGAGAACCAGGGCTAAGCATCGTTGAGCACCGTGGAACATTCCGCGTCTTCAGAGGAAGACCATTATGTACATAAGTGTTTATACCCCTCCGTGTGACAGTTTATATATTTATTGGTGGTGGTAATATATATATTTAATTTAGTGTATTTGTATCCCTTCCCCTTTAATTTTCTTGCATTACGGAACACACCCCTTGAAAGCCACTACTAACTTGGGGCCGGATACCCAAACTCTAATAACATCAGAGAAGAACCCCAGTTGCGACCCAATAGGGCCGTAACAGCTGTACCGGGAGTTTGTGGTGCGCAAGGATGCACGCACAGTTGCTATTCCTGCATCGGCTGTGTCTGTGGAGGTTTCGGATCCCTGGAGGGCGATGCAATATGTGAGCATTCATGGTGTGCCGGTCGCTTTCCCCATGGACGACCTGAAGTCGGTGTTTACGCGATAAGGTGTGGTGGTGGTTCACCGCTTCAACACTTTGAGTGCGGGCCGGCTGCGAGGGTTACGTATGGGCACTCGTACGCACGTTATGCGGGTTACGACACCCATTCCGTCCAGGGTTTTGTATCGTGGGCTCTCGCTCCAGGTCTTTTATCAGGGCCAGACGTGGACCTGTTTCCGGTGTGGTGCTGAGGGCCATGTGACGCTCCTCGTGCTGAGGCTCCTTCGGTTTTCTTGGAGGGTGACTTCCCCTGCTTGTCTGAGCATGGGGCTTCCTCGGCGCCTATTCGCTCTGTCCAGGTGCCTGGTGTGGTTCCCGCTGTGGTTTCGGCTGGCGCTCCATCTGGCCCTGGTATGTCTGCCCCACCGGTGAGCTCTGTGGACCTGGGGGCTTCTGCTTCGGGTGTTCGGTAGTTGCGGAGGTGCATCCGCGGCCGGTTGCTTCCGTGGGAGCCTTGGATGCTGCTGTAGGGGTGGTGCCTGCCTATCCTGCCGACGATCGTCTGCTTCCCGGGGGTTCCGGGGTTGTGGTGGGTGAACGCTCTCCCCCGCCCCCTGCCCCTGCCACCCCCTCTGCCCCGCCATCTGCATCGTCTCCCTCGTCGCCTTCGGTGGTCTCCTCACCCTTCGGTCCGTCTTCTCCTGCGCCGGCCTTGTCGTCCGTATTGGATGCCTCCAGTGTGCTGGAGTGTGCTCTCGCGCCTGCTGAGCCTGCTCATTCTCCGTTTCTGGTCTCCGGGAGTTCCAGGGCTGTCGGGGCTGTGGTGGGTGAGCCCTCCCCCCTGCCCTCTACCTCGGCTACCTCGTCGCCTTCGGCGGATTACTCGCTCCCTCGTGCCTCTTCGCCTGCGCCGGCACTGTCGTCCGTGCTGGATACCTCATGTGTGCTGGAGTGTGCTCTCCCGCCTGCTGGTCTGATCCTTCTCCGTTTCTGGTATCCGGGCATTGTAGTGGCTTTTTGCTCCGGGCGGTTGTGGCTGCTGTCCTGTATGTTAGTGTTGCCCTGGCTTTGGGGCCGCCTGCCGTTGGTTCTTCTGGGGCACCGCTTGCTGGGGGTGACAGTTCCTACGATCTGCTGCCTCTTTTTAAGCGCCGTCGCTCGGCTCGGAGTAAGTCGCCTCACCGGTCGTGTGCAGAGGAGCGTGATGCGATGGACAATGACGATGTGGTCGAGGCTGTGTTGCCTCCGGTGGTGCCTTCGGTGTTGGATGCTGTGCCTCCTGCTGGTGGCTCCCCTCAGTGGGCGGTTGCCCCTGGTGTTCGCGACCAGTCGTGGTGTTGTCGAATGATGTGCGGCGGGGGGACTCTGCTCCTGTTCCGGATGGTGGGAGTGCTGGTACCCCTGTGGAGCCACCCTCCGCGGGACTCGGTGCGGTGTCTGGCGTCGACCGGGTTGCGCGCCCTGGTGGGTGGGCCGCACACAGTGTGTGGCCTGCCGTGCAGTCCAGTGTGTTTCCTGGTGTGCGGCCCTGTGACAAGCTTCCTAGGAGGAAACCCTTCCCTTTCGTCCTCTCGTCCGGCGAGGTGGTCGGCCCCGAGGCGACTGTGGAATATGACTGTGATGACCTGGTGCCTCTTGTTCCCTGGTGCCCATCTACCATCTGGGTCCCACGAGTGCAGTGTTTTGTCACGGATGTGCCGAATTTGATGCCTCAGCCTATTGCGCCTTATGGACGTCCGATTCCTGACGTTAACCAACTACTTTGGGAAGTTTATTGCTTACGGTTTCCAGCTCAGGAGTACCCGGAGAAGTATGAGTGATTGATGTGTTTGGTTTCTGTCTGTGTTGTGCGTGATGATTCCTCGGTGCTTGCGTGCATGGGAGGGTATCCTTGTCTGTGAGTGTGGGCGGTGTGGGTGTTGTTCTTTGCCCATGCGTGGCCTGTTTTGTTGTGCTTGCCTTTTATCCGTGTTTGTGGTGGGGTTGTATGCGGTTGTGGGTGTTTGGTGTTATTTGTTGCGTGTCATTGCGCGCACCCCGTGTTTTGTGTTGGGATGGCGGGCGGTGTGGTTGTGTATGTTGCTTACGTGCATGTGTTTCTTTTCTTGGCCTCGTGTATTGCTTTCTTATTTGTACTACATTTCTGTTCTTTATGTTTTTCTGTTTGTATTTCACTGTTTATGTATTTCGCTGTTTTTTTATATTGTTTCCTGTAGCTATGAATTTTTACCTCTGTCAATGATTTCGGAGGCCTTTTCCATGTCCATGTAATTGCTGTATGTCCATTTTTCATGTTTGTTTTGTAGTTTACCTCAGTACCTGGCGTTTCTAGGTTCTGGTGATGTTCTGTGTTATTCTGTACCTGTGTTTGTCTTTCTGTTTATGTAGTGTGTATTCTGCTATACCTTGTATAATTCTTTAAAAAAAAAAAACTACGGCAGTAAATGATGGTGTCTGGGTCTCGGGCGTAGTGATCATTGCTGTTGGATGGGCTATATATGTAGACTTATATAGTTTGCATCAATATTTAGCTAAATGACATAAAAATCCCTATATAATATAGCTAATCGTAATGTGGTACTGACTAGAAAAGGGAAGGAAACTATCATGAGAAAGCACCAAGCCATTACGGCTATATTGCACTTGGAAGGGATCAGTATTAAAGGTTTGGGATGGGACGGGGGTAAAACGGGAGTGGATGCAGTAATTACAAGGCTCCAAGTACCACATGCCGGCAGGTCTGTAGAGGCTAATGATTGGACATTCAGTAATATACGCTGAGAGCTCATGACCCAGTTAATGTCCTCATGGAGTAGGGAGGTCACCTATTGACAGCCACCTGCCACAGGAATTTGGAGGTCACAGTACCACCTGCCACAGGAATTGGGAGGTCACAGTATCACCTGCGACAGGAATAGGGAGGTCACAGTACCACCGGCCACAGGAATAGGAAGGTCATAGTCCCATCTGCCACAGGAATTAGGAGGTCACAGTACCACCTGCCACAGCAATAGGGAGGTCACAGTACCACCCGCCACAGCAATAGGGAGGTCATAGTCCCATCTGCTACAGGAATTGGGAGGTCATAGTCCCACCTGCCACAGGAATAGGGAGGTCATAGTCCCATCTGCCACAGGAATTGGGAGGTCATAGTCCCACCTGCCACAGGAATAGGGAGTTCACAGTCCCACCTGCCACAGCAATAGGGAGGTCATAGTCCCACCTGCCACAGCAATAGGGAGGTCATAGTCCCACCTGCCACAGGAATTCGGAGGTCATAGTCCCACCTGCCACAGGAATAGGGAGTTCACAGTACCACCTGCCACAGGAATTGGGAGGTCACGGCCACCTGCCACAGGAATAGGGAGTTCACAGTACCACCTGCCACAGGAATTGGGAGGTCACGGCCACCTGCCACAGGAATAGGGAGTTCACAGTACCACCTGCCACAGGAATTGGGAGGTCACGGCCACCTGCCACAGGAATTGGGAGGTCACAGCCACCTGCCACAGGAATTGGGAGGTCACAGCCACCTGCCACAGGAATTGGGAGGTCACAGCCACCTGCCACAGGAATTGGGAGGTCACAGCCACCTGCCACAGGAATTGGGAGGTCACAGCCACCTGCCACAGGAATTGGGAGGTCACGGCCACCTGCCACAGGAATTGGGAGGTCACAGCCACCTGCCACAGGAATTGGGAGGTCACAGCCACCTGCCACAGGAATTGGGAGGTCACAGCCACCTGCCACAGGAATTGAGAGGTTGAAGGATCACCTGCCACAGGAATTGAGAGGTTAAAGGATCACCTGCCACAGGAATTGAGAGGTTAAAGGATCACCTGCCACAGGAATTAAGAGGTTGAAGGATCACCTGCCACAGGAATTGAGAGGTTGAAGGATCACCTGCCACAGGAATTGAGAGGTTGAAGGATCACCTGCCACAGGAATTGAGAGGTTGAAGGATCACCTGCCACAGGTACCCGAAGCCTGACCTGATCCAGGCAATTACTCTTACTCCGGTCTACTGGACGTTTGGTTCTGCCCATATATAGAGGCATCAGATTTAAGTAAATTATATATTATGTTTGCAGGCATTTGAAAAAGAGTAATTTCACAATTCTCATATACCAACGTATGGAGCCGTATAGTCTTAACAACCATCAACTATTGATGGGGGATATCAAGGATACCTTGTGTCAGAGATGGTCTAGTTCATTTTTTTATTGAATTATAATTAGGCCGCTATGTCTATGTACAATATGTTATATTTGAATCAGACGACATTCATACAAAAAGATATTCTGAACTGTAATCACCTACTTGAAATCACCTAGTTGTGCATGCGGGGATTTAGCTTTGCTCTTTCGGCCCGCTTCTCAACTGTTACTACTATTTTTTTTTCCACACCGCACACACACACCCCAGAAAGCAGCCCGTGATAGCTGACTATCTCCCAGGTACCTATTTACTTCTAAGTAACAGGAGCATCAGGGTGTAAGAAACTCTGCCCATTGTTTCTCGCCGGCGCCGGGAATCGAACCCGGGACCACAGGATCACGCGTCCAGCGTGCTGTCCAGTCAGCAACCCGTTCTCGCAAATTCGTAAAGTCAATATTGACTTATTAACTGCGTGCATAGGTGATATACTAAACATAATAGATACCCTTAAAAAGATTCATAGAAAACACCGACCTTACCTAACCTTGTTAGTATCTTAAGATAAGCATCTTATTGCTTCTTAATTACAATTATTACTTAACCTATACCTATTATAGGTTAGGTAATAATTGTAATTACGAAGCAATAAGATGCTTATCTTAAGATACTAACAAGGTTAGGTAAGGTCGGTGTTTTCTATGAATCTTTTTAAGGGTATCTATTATGTTAAGTATGTCACCTATGCACATATTTAATAAGTCAATATTGACTTATTAAATTTGCGAGAACGGGTTGCCAGTCAGCCACCGGCCCCACGATATTGTACTAGCCTCGCTGTATTACGTATTATGTACAGTATTATGTACAGTGAGTAGGTTGTTCATTATGTACAACAAGTAGGTTATTTATAATTGCTATTATGAAGGTCTTGCTGTTTATCTTGCAGAAAACTTTTCAATTCAAGACTACATATTCTCAAGCTAATTAAACTTTCCTTTCTCTAAACCGGTTACCAACACTGCAAACACTGAGTTGGGCATTACAGTTATATTGGAACTAAAATCTCTCTAATACCTTTTGTCCTCTTGATATAAAACTCA